GGCTTGCTAGCCGTATAAGAGGCTTGAGTGGTTTCCGCCCAAGTTGGAGGACTCCACGAACAAGGGAGGAGGAGACTTCACGCTGTGTGAAGATCTCTAAGCGCTGCGGATCCTTACGGACCCAGTGCATTTCAAGTAGGCAACAGAGGTCTGATCAACCTCTAGCCTCTCCCCGTCGCCGATAGATTCCTAGACGTATCCCTTCCCACGCGCAAGAGAACCGGACCCACGGAGCCTAGCAAACTTTGTGAGGATGAGTGAACAGGAGGACCCATGGAGCCTAGCAAACTTCGTGTGAACCCTTACGACCGATCTCAGAGCTCTTCTACCCGGGTTCGAGTCCTGCAGGTTTACTTTCCCGTCACCGAAACCCTTTGCGATGTACCCTCGTGCCCTGCAGGTTCAAGTTTTGTTTTCTTTTCTGTCTGTAACCGCAACTTAAGCAAGTTTTCCAGCCTGCACCACTGCCATCTCGGTGTAAGTAAACAATCTTTTAAACTACCGCTACGCATCTGTGCCTAATTCCAGCTCGAAGGCCTTCCCTCTCCGACCCGGCGTGCCCAGGCTGCTGGCCACAGCCCACGTGCAGCGCAAAAAGGGCTCGTGTCGCTCCCGGCCCGCACAAATATTTGTTAGGTTTACAATAATTTTACCATAGTTTTAAATTTCACATTTTTTGTTCTGATTTAGTATGAAAACAAGTTTTGAAACCTTCAAAGTTGTACAGAATGAAAATTCCATTTTTCCTCCAGTTCTAGTTTTCAAATATAAAGTATAAAGTGGAGTGATTTATGAGTCCACAATAAAGCAAAGATATCTTGTTTTGGTTTTGCTAAAATCAGAGATGGTTTCAGATCCACATTCTACAGAAATGATGTATGCAATACAAATATCCTACTAAATTCTATCTCCCTTAAAATAAATGCAATAAGATTTTGTGCACACACACACTTACTATCTATACAAGAATTAAATGTCCAGTGTGAAGGTACCTAGCTTTCTACAGCAATTGACATTTATGGCATTCACTCAAATGTCATCTATCTTCAGGCTAAATCCACTACTACATATTCACTGCTTTCCTTGGTAAAGGAAAAAACTGCTTAAACCTCTTTAACAGCCAAGATAAGCTGGATTTGCCACTGTTTTGCATTGCTGAAGTTTTACAAAACAGCTGAAGCATACTGGTTAATCCAGCTCTTATTTTTCAGAAATGCAACAGAGGCCTTCCTTCAGGATATAGGTGATTTCAGTAGATTGTGATGCAGCAAATACTGGAGATTATCATAAGAGAAAAGCATGCGAGATTAAATATAGGAAAAACAGAATAAAATAAATTAAATTAAATAAACAAAAAAAAAAAAGATGCTTTTCCTGAAAAGGGATGGAGAGTGGAACTTGTTGAGAATTTAGCTGTCTAATGATGTTCTGCTGTACATTCCCCTGGTTAGTCTGATTAAATGCTGCCTCTGCTCAGAATCTTGTGAGGCATACTCTCACAAAAGCATGACATACACATAACTCTTAGCAGGCTAGTCAAGCAAACAAGGTTAATGGCTAATCACCAATATTCACCGTACAGGAGACTATATTGTCAATGCCAGTTAGTAGCAAGACGTCAGTGTGCTAGTACTATGCCTAAGTGATTGCTTCTGAATACATGGTAGGGAAAATGTTCCCCAGGAAAACGTTGTTAGCAGGCAGTTGTTGCTCTTAGCTAGTGCTGTTGCCAACAAGAAGATACTACTGTTGGCAGCCTTGTTGATTAATATAACAAAAGGTTCTCAGGAGGCTCAAATGTGTCCCAAATCCCTATTAATCTCTTTAAAGACGAGTCATTTTTATATAGCTGGTGGAATTATTTTCAAAGGTTAATATGCATCATTCTGATATTTTTAATCCATTGTTGCATTATAGAGCGTATGGATGAAATAAAAAAAGCAATGACCAAAATTGTATATTATATGCCCAGTATCCTATGGTGGTTTGGATTATGCAGCTTTCTTTGTCCCCCAATATAAAACTGATTAAGGGGGGAAAATATTTTCCTACAGGAAATGTACAAGTTTTGATTCTAGGATCTCTGGTGTCAGGGAGATTTTCACTGTCAAAAGTCAGCAGCATTTGGATTCATTCTAGAATTTTAAATCTTTTCTAACTTGAAAAAAGATGCCAATTCTATTTTTTTCTGTCTCTTAACCTCACTTAACTGACTTACTCTATGAGGGGAGCGATCATGTTAAGTTTGTATTGGACACCTCCAGCAGCTAAATGAAAGCTCCAATGGCCTTCCCCAAAACTCAGTGGAGTGGGTACCCTGCCCTATTTAACATAACAGCCAAACCAATTCCTCTCAAAATTTAGGCAACAAATATTATTTACATTTTTTGAGCAGCCAAGCCTAAAAAGTTCTAGCCCAAAGAACTGAGGAAGTAAAAGTAAAAATGCCTTAACAAGCACCACAATAGTCTTCACTGTTGAAATGAAACACTGTTCCATTGAAATATCTAAATGGAAGTCCAAGCAGAATGGTGCTGTTTCACACAGCCCTACTATCTATGTGGTGTCGTTGATCACTAGCATGTATGTAAATGTACAGTGTCTAGGAGTGTAAGAATTTCTCCTTTTAGTGTAACTGGACAGTCTAGTATACACTAGAGTCTCAACCTGGTGAGCACAGCAAACCTGCAAGGTCCAGTGAATTATCAGGCTTCCCACGCAGGCAACTCTCTCTATACAATCCAACTGCCTAACACAAAAACAAACATCTGCGCATCCCAAGTATGGGCCTGAATCCCCAGGACTGCATCCAGTGACATATTAAGAGCAAATCTCCATCTGATAAAAAAAGAAATGCTAGTTGGTAAATCAGACTTGTAGCGTATAGGAATTATGGGGGCAGGGAGCTAAACAAAGGGCTCTGTTAGCCAAAAGATATACCAGATCCATTTGTGGATGGGCAGTTGAAAGTGGTACAGATTTCAATATATCAATATTGAAACCACCTGGGCTCTCCTCGGCCTGTGAGTGTAGGAGGGCTATTAGGAAGGCCAAGGCAGAGATGGAACTCAGGCTAGCATCCAGGATTAAGGACAACAAAAAGTCCTTTTTCAAGTACATTGGGAACAAGAAGAGGGCACCAGGCAATGTAGGGCCCCTGCAAGACACAAACGGTAATCTTGTGGCTATGCCAGACAAGAAAGCTGATATTTTTAACAGTTTCTTTGACTCTGTTTTCTTGAACAGGGACCGGGATATCCCACCTACCAGAGGTAGGGACAATCTTGGGGATAGCTCTGTCAGGTCTTCAGTCAGTGCAGTTGTAGTTAGGGATCTTCTGGAAGGGCTAAAATTTTTTAGATCTTTAGGTCCAGATGCCCTCCACCCAAGGGTGTTGAGGAAGCTGGCAGGGGTCATCGTGGAGCCCTTAGCCCAGCTGTATGAGCATTCATGGTCATCTGGCCAGGTGCCAGGGGATTGGAAACTGGCTAATGTGGTCCCAATTTTCAAGAAAGGGAGGAAGGAGGACCCAAGTAACTATGGGCCTGTAAGCCTCACCTCGCTGCTCGGGAAGATCTTGGAGAGAATCATCAAGGAGCACATCTGTGGGGGGCCAGCAGGGGAGATCATGCTCAGGGGCAATCAGCATGGGTTCATCAAAGGCAGGTCTTGCCTGACCAACCTGATTGACTTTTATGACCAAGTAACTAAATCCTTGGATGATGGTGTCGC